AAATATGAATTGAAATCGGTCAGTTATGACCTCAATAACTCTACCCGAATCTTTGCTACATCATGATAAAAATGCATTTATCCTTAGTCACACCCTTGTGTATAAATATGTCAGTATCTGTAATCATTTGAATTTCAAACATCTTAGGTTGTAAGCAGCTGATGAGAACCTAACGAAATAAAATGAATTCATATTATTCCGCACCAATCTTTGTTCTTGCTCTCATTAATGGATGTTCTTGTAACAAAAGTGGTGGGATTTGATCATTTCTCTGAGTTTGCCTTTTTATGCACAAGAATAACCGTTTCGGACTAGTTTTACGATCTCTAATTAATTGTTTTTCATACGACTGTCTAGTCTTACCTGTTAAGGCTTTACAGGCATTACTAGTCTTACGATAAATAGATCTGTACTATTCTAAGCCAGGAGAAATGAACATATTTCTGTGCTTTTTCCGACGTCTAAGAAGTTTCTTGACCTGTTTATTTATCCATGGTGGACTGTTATTCGGTCTACGTGGTACCAGGTATGGTACAAACGAGGACGTAACTGGACTAAACTTGCTTCTGAATATAGACTATGCTTCGTCAGCTGAAGAGCTAGTATCTGCTGACCAATCTGTCCTAGTAGCGCACTCCTGAATGACTGACATATTAGTTCTCCATACATTTGGACGAGGCTTAACCTGATCGTACGTCATGTTACTAGCTTTAAACGTGAATGACAAAACAGCATGATTCCTAACGGTGGAAGAATATTTAAGTCAACAATATCCTCAGTCGCATGAGTGATTACCAAGTTCAACGGAGAATAACCTTGGTTTGCACCAAAAGGTGTGGGTTTGGATACATGCTATATTAATGTATGCTCCATCGGTGTTATCAGGAACTTACTATCAAAGGAGTTTATAGATCCTTCCGTGGTCATCTCAGTCCAACTAATATCAGGTACATTAAAGTCTAATTATATCAAGCATATGATATTTGCACATCATAGCTTAATGTGCTCTAAAATCAATCATCAGCTCAGTAGACTAGGTTGCGACAGATAACACCGAGTATAAATGTACAACATTTGATAGGGAGGTCACAGCTAATGACCACACAAGTTCCAGCATCATAGGATTCGCGTTCTACCCAAAGTATATGGAAAGCATGGGAAGAGTACACCATTACATCAAAACAAGAAAGTCAAATTTAGGAATTAATCGGAAGAAAATATCCAAAATCTGAAAAACATGTTTCATACAACCAACTGGGAATTATTTACAGATTACTCACTGGAAAACACTACTGATGTTATCACTTGTTACCTTAAATTCTGTTTTGGTATTTGTTGTCCCACTGAAACTATTTTTGTAAGTTTTGATCGACTTACATCTTCACAACTAAAACGACTACGGAGGGTGAAAGAAAGAATGTACAAAAAAAGAACTCTAACGAAGTTCGTAAGTTAAATGGTCTGAAAAACCTAGAGATCAGACGTCTCAACTCTATGTCTACTCAAAAACTCTTGTCTTGCAAAAACTCTCCAAGTATTTGGAGACGCTTTAAAGAACTTACAGGTGACAGATAGTTTACGAGCGACAACCCGCTGAATGTTTGCGACTTAAATAAGTCTTTTGTACATCAGTCATCTTATGTGATGCTCCCTTTATCCACAGGTTTAAAGAATAGCTGTGTTCCTAGTTTCACTGAAACTGATGTACGAAGATGTTTCCAGTCGCTGAATTCATTCCGATGTTTGGGACCTGATGGTGTCCCAAACCTACCTTTTGAAAAAATGTGCTGACGTCCTATGTTATCCGTTCACAACTATCTTTAACAGATCCTTCTCATCTAATCTCATACCGAAAATGTGGAGAAAGATGAAGATAATTCCTGTACCCAAGAAAGCATCTGGTGATATGAATGTAAGATTTAGACCTATTGCAATAACTTCACCCTTCCTCAAAACAATGGAGAAATTACTAATACTTCCACTTCAGCCTGCGATAAAAGAGCATATTGATCCATATCAAATTGCTTACAGACGCAAAAGAAGCGCTTCAGATGCTGCTGCTGTTCTGCATCACAACATAGTGTTCAACCTAGAAAAGGGTAAGAATTATGTTTGATGTGCTTCTCTTTACTACACTTCAGCTTTTGATTATGTAACGAGACGACGTCTAATTAACAAGTTAATCAGTGTCAACACTGACAACTGGATAATCAACTGGCTATATTCCTACCTCTCTGGAAGGGAATAGTACACTGTATTTGGAGGAAGGTGTTCAGAGTCTCTACTGTCTCATAAAGGTGTACTACAAGGAGCTGTTCTTTCACCTCTTCTTTTCTCTTTTTTTCTGCATGATCTACCATCTTACACAGAAAACACTTTTGCGAAATGTGCGGATGATCTCACTGTATGTATGCCTATCTCTTCCTCTTCACATCCCACAGAGATGAATGAGTTTTTGTCGCGTATTGATTGTTGGTCTGTTGGTCTTATACTCAATCCGTCTACATGTCAAGCTGTTAACTTTAGCATGAAACATGAACGGAATCTAAACACCATTTTGAGATCCCATAATGCTTGTGCCATTGGAGACTCTTTGATAAACATAGCGTCAAAGGTCAATTATCTTGTTGTTACCTTTTCCTCTGATCTGTCTTGGTCTGCCCGCGTTTTATTGTTATCGAAGAAGGTTTTCTGTCTGACTTACTACATAAGGAGATTGCATGCTCTTGGGATTACTCGTCATTTACTCTTACAATTTGTCAATTCTTGCATATTAACTATTATTCTTTACTGTTCCCCATTATTCTTTTCCGGGCTTTTGAGAAAAGACTTTCTTGTATTGCGGAGAGTGCTGAAGGCAGTTAGCAAGATGTGTGGTGAATCTTTCGACGTCATATTTAATATGGTTGTGGATAGACATTTAAAATCATACAAACTCCTGGCAGGTGTTATTTTCTCAGATACTAGCCATCCCCTTCACTCTTATCTTTCCCCTTGTATATCTTCTGGTAGAACGAGACGTAATTACATTAAAATCCATGCACGCAAGCAAAAGTATAAAAGTTCTATAATACCTTATCTAGCAAATATACTCTATGACGAACAGGTTGTTAGAGTTAACCTAGTTAATAACCTGCATTCTTAACATGCCTCTAATTTGAAAAGTTGTGCAGTTTTTTCGTTTTTTTCCAGACCCTTTTTTCCTTTTTTGCCTTTGTCACTGTTTTTCTGCTCAAGTAACTTGTTGAAAAACCCTGTGCTGATAATTCTATACTGTACCAAAATATAATATTGAATAAGGCCATTAATAATAATAATACCATGATACTATGATTTCCGTGTCAACTCAATTACTATACTAGGTCCTCTCGTATAGTGAGTTACAAGTATTATTTCAACAATTAGTTTTGTTTGGAAATTTCGTGCTCCATGCTCAGGGGCTTTGATATAGATTGGCTTCCAAATGTGATAGCAGGAAAACCCTTCAGAATAGGAATCTTCGCTCCGCTATGACGTCTTTCGTTTACTCAGTCTTGTACAGACTTTCGTTTAATATGGCCTTTGAAACTAAGATCAGTAAGCATTCCTTAAATACAAATCAAGCTTCGTAGGAGAAACGAGTAGTTAAGAAAATACGTTCGTTCCATAGTGTCAGATAAAGATTGTATCCTTATTCTGTGGAACGTATGAGTTCTAATGCCAGGTGTCTTTACGCGTAGTAGCTTGTAAAGTAAAGGTTATAATAGAAGTTCACTTTAGGTTCTTTCGAACTGACAATTATATATGCAACTGACCTAACTTTAAGGTCTGCTATTGTAGGCATTGCTCTAACTTCATCTAAACTTTTGATCTTTTACTCCACTAAAGTTGAGGCTACAACAGTGAAGCTGTGCTTCCAGCCCATCTAACTGTTTTACGACTGGTGACGTTATGCTACTTAGAAAACTCGTGATGACTGGAGGGATTCCACGAGGTTTCCCAAGCTTTTCGAGATCTAGTTCCAGCGTCAGTTGATTCACTTTACAACCAAATGCAAGGGGCATACATCTTGTTTGTTACTATCTGTGGTGTTATAACTCTTCTTTTTCGGAAGTAATGGTTCACTTACGAGTCTATCTACACTCCAATATGGTGCACGCTACTAAAAAGACATCTCTCAAACGAGTCTACCAGACCTGCGAGGCGTGTTCATAGGTAAGCTTGCGGGATCTTCCTTACCCAGTAGAATTGTGTTCCCGCGGACTGAGTACCCCACCATCTCCAGGCTTTAGTCGAATTTTCGATAACTTCACCAACACCTTTGTACAGAGAGATTTCGTTTACTAAAATAATTCTCGCATAAATCACGACTGTCTCTTTAAATCTTTCGTAGACGTCAACAGCCAAGTCAGTGCATTTATTATAGCAGCAGCTAATACGATTATCACATTGCGTTCTATCTTCAACCTGCGAGCAACAGGTTGGTCTGCCACAATGACAGTTTGCTTGGAGCATCATCGGTTAAAAATAAATAAAACCTGCGTATAAAATGGAAGGTAATGCCAAAAGGACGAAACCCCACCTATAAAGCGACAAAAGACTCAAAATACGTTGATAAAAATGGGAGACAACTAAGTGACTAAACTATTCTCCAAGCCAGCATAATTTAGAGAAAATACTATCAAAGGCCTGAGACTAAACCGAAACAAACAGCGAGCGTAAAGAAATCAACCAGTCTATGCAGGCTCATAACAAAGATTTTTGACACAATGGATTTATTGACTTTACTATCAACCTCAATTTTTTGAACTCCCCTAACTTCAAGTTAAAAATTTAAGCCTCTCTGAATTATGTATACATGAAAACATAATGTGTGCACAGGACTAAAGAGCTATAAAATATCATTTGTAGCTACTAGCTAGATGTTTGAATGTTTCGAATATTGAAACCTTAGTCAGTGTTTTTCAACTCTACTGATTTTTAAGCGCACTTTTCGGCTCTCACGAGATCCTTGCTGTGAAATGAGGTAATCGTTGTGTAGCTTTATTTTATGAACTTTCATCCACAGCAATCTACGCGCTCAAAAGCGTCTGGCATCTGCTGTATTCGGTTGTGGAAAAAAAAAGATTTGGCTAGATCCCAATGAAACTGCAACCATTCAAAATGCCAACTCGCGTAAAATGATACGAAAGTTGTTTAAAGATAACTTGATTATTCGCAAACCTGTGACAGTCCATTCTCGTTCTCGATGCCGAAAAAACTTGATTGCACGTAGAAAAGGTCGTCACTCGGGAACGGGTAAAAGAAAAGGTACAGCAGATGCACGTATGCCTCAAAAGGTCCTGTGGATGAGGCGAATGAGAGTTCTTAGGCGTTTACTTAAGCGGTATAGAGAAGCTCACAAAATCGATAAACATCTGTAAGTCCTAATATTAATCATATATTTTAAAGGTACCACTTATTATATCAACAATGCAAAGGGAATCAATTTAAAAATAAAAGAGTTCTCATTGATCATATTCACAAGAAAAAGGCAGAACGTCTCCGAGCAAAACAACTCAGTGATCAGGCAGAAGCACTGCGTCAAAGGAAGCGTGAGTCCCGGATGAACCGTCAGCACAGGCTCGAAGAGCGAAAAAAGGCCGTGATTGAGAGCTTTAATACAGCTGTTGCTAAATCCACAACCCCAGTCGCTCAAAAGCCCATCCCTTCAGTGGAAACTAAACCTAAGGTAGAAGTCAAGCCAGCTCCGGCCCCTGCACCAGCCCCAGTAGTTACACCGACGTCTCAGCCGTCTGTTGAAAAGGTAGAAGTTCCAACAAAACCTGCATCTCTCAAAGTGTCGAAAGTTGCACCACCACCGAAAATCCCAACTGCAAAAACTCCTGCAGCTCCACCTAAAATACCTGAGCCTGCTTCAGCCAAGACAACGTCTTCTAAAAAACCTGCCAAGCGTTAGTGTGAAATAGATTTAAAAATGGTAATATGTCTTTTAAATCATATTCTTGGGTTAGCTTGCAATTATCCGCTGTTGTGTCCATCCTTTGATTGTATCATGGAGATACGTTGTCTACATCAAATAAACTCAGGTGTTTGAACGAGTACGGAATTTCGGTAGTATGACTTAAAATACCTGTTATCTCATCTAAGTACTGTAGGGGTTTCTATAATCTTAGTTGTGTATGTTTATGGTCAGGTTTATACAGTGGTTGTATTATATTAGTCCTGAAAATAACACTATTTTCAACGTAAAAGAATATCGACTTGTGTTTCATGTACGATGTTTGTCAGACGTCTTTGTATGCACACGTGCCAATCTATCCCTGTAAGAAGTCAGTGATTACATATCATTGTGACCATCCAATAAAGGTCACAAGTTTTCAGTCACATCTATAATGTGCTTTCTCTAGTACTCATCTGTGATCTGCACCGCAACCTCTGATGTTGGCTCCCAGTTTGGTAAGATGTTGCAATTTGTTAGTTGACGACAATGTGGCTTTATCGTCAAGCTGTTAGGAGCGGTTGTTAAGTTCCGAACGTCTTGTGTCGAAATCTCTAGCAGATACTTGTAACCACTGCAGTTCTTGAGATTCGAATGTTTAAACCTGGGTTTTGTAGTCCGTTAACGACTATTTATTTGCAAGAATAATCTTTTCAGATAATTGAATCAGATGTGCTATCTATATGGCTCCACTTACTTTAGTAATCTCTAGCTACATCACTCCATACTGATCACGCGGGCTATAACACACTAGCTCTGTACTTGAAAAATGAACCGGAACTTCCAGACAATTGTAGGCTAGAAGTTGAAAGATTGGTCAGGCTGCGAAGAACAAGGACCTGTCATTAGTCTAATTTGAATAAAATAGGTTATGGAAAAACGGTTCAAAACAACTTGTTCGTAATACTCCCCATGGAATATGTTGTTTTCGGTGGCAGACCACTCATATCTACTGAAGTACGTTTTGATTTACGTCTCCGTGTTTGGTTTTAGTTTTTATACTAATTCGTGAAGACAATTGTTCTTCGTGTAAGTCCTTCCAATGGCTAGGTGTCCACTCGATACAATCATTTGAATTCCATGCATCATGTACCATCACTACATATTCAAGTATCAAGTATAGCTGCAAGGGTATATGTTATATCCACGGACTAGTTGGGTTGCTCAAACTTATACTGATGAAGGTTTCGAGTAGTTGATACACATGGACACCTTCGTCACTGTTCATTACTCCACGGACCCACTAATTATCTTTGAGTTACATAACCTTCAGACTACACACATGTAGGTGAAAACTCCAGAATCTGCTCACCTCTATCAGCTCAATTAGGATCAAGATGTGCTCACTAATCCTGCGAGCTGAATTAGGATAACACGTCTGTTACTATGAATGAATGAATGACTCTTGAAAGACTTATGCAAGCTAAGAAATAATAAACTTATGACCGACTTTAATGACTGTCCAATCTAGTGTCTTACTTAAACTATCATATAGATTTAACCAGTTTCACTAGAAAAATGCATCCAATGATTGCTAAGAACTTGGTCTCTTGCAAGTAGTGTAACTGCAAAGTACTCAATCCTACGAGGTTAATGATCACATCTGGTTGTGAGCCTTGTAACTTCAATTTGTGGTATATAGATTATGCTGTCAGCTACAACGTAGGACCAGGCACATATATGCATCGGTCCAAGTTGCCATTACTTCATTAGCACAACAACATAAACTCCGAATTCATAAAAGTAGTCACTTAAATGGTAGTAATATGTAAAAGGAAGATTGTGTATAAGGTTATAGTACAGGAAGAAAGAATACTATACTACTAGATTATGCTGTGGACTAAGGTCACTTAAATTTACAATGCAAACACCAATTATTGATTAGTGTTATTTACGTAGTTGGCCAATATTTGTTATCTAATTAAGCATCTTATTCCAAATCGTTTATCTGGTTTCACCCTTCCCTTAATTCCTCAAGTTGAACAGGAATTTATTGTATGACTCGTTAATGTGATAGTGAATCGCGGAGGTAGAAATGACGTTGAATCCTAATGGCTATATATCAGCAGGAGCAGATCAACGATCTATGGAAGTAACGAGATTTGAATAATAGCACAGTAAGTAATGGCAAGAGAGTCAACATATTTGGTAAAGATTATTGAAGGTCTTAAGTAGTACAATATTTTAGATCTAGAGGTATAAGATCGATCTTCAACACAAATGCCCCGGTGCGACCGAGGGTGGGGAGATTCCGCCCTCCCTCTCAAAAAGCTCTCACATAGTCACTGCCACGGAAGTCCTGCTCATTAACTTCTCACAGAGGGGGTGTTTATGAAATTGAGAGAATAAAAAGCGAATGTCTGGTGCTTCAACCGAGTTGGTTGATGTGGTCGATCCACCTAGGGGAGTTAAAAAACCCTGATTCCAAACTAATGATGTACATAGGCTCCAGGATCCTGACTTGCTTATTTGTTTGAACACATAAGTATTGGTACAAGAGAGTAGCAGATATATATGCGCCACACAAAGCAATGAGAATGGGAACCAAAGAACGAATGTAAGGTGCGTATAAGAAAGAAAAAGAGAACAACAACGACCACAGATTAGTGTATGGTAGTATAATAATGATAATAATAGTAATGGGGGAAACGGAAAGCTACAACCAGAAAGGATTCTTTCAGTTAAGGAAGTTCCAACCCCTTTTTATGAAGAAAGCAAAAGGAGGTTATATCAGGATCGCCACTGGCTTCTATTCTGAGCCATATCTGATAACGTCTATAGCCACTGTGTTGCACCATCTCTAGGACCCCAACCAGGGAGTCGTGAAGAACCAACAGAGTCCAGTCCTGTGCATATTTCTTTCATACCACAACATCAGGTCATACACTGACCACCTCTCCGCTTTTTCCGACCAGTCCCAGCGTCGGCAAATCGTGCACAACAAGAAATTCTCTGGGGCAACATTTGAAGAACATGTCCAAGCCACCGAAGTCGGTGTTTCAAGATGTTGACACCAATTGAATCATCGTCTCTGTGCCCGAACACACGATGCTGAACCTCTGCATTACTAACATGGTGTTGCCACTGGATGTCAGCAATCCTTCGGAGACAACGATGATCGAATACAGAGAGTCGCCTAGCATTCCCAACTCGAAGAGGCCACGTTACACAAGCATAGGGCAATAGTGTTCGCACTGACACATTGTAGATCCGACCTTTTACAGCCAGACTGACATCACGAAGGTGGCAAAGATGGCCCAGATTGGCATAAGCCGCTCTGGCTTTCACTATACGTGAATCGATCTCACCACTCACGCCACCAGCCCTTATGCAGCTACCTAGATGCACGGACTTCTCGACTACTTCTATCTGCTCACTACTCAGGGTGAGTACATAATCAGGGTTCTGCTAGTCTTGTAGAATTTGCACTTGGAAGGTGCAAAGCACATAGCGTACCTACGGGCATTGATTGCCAACTGATTAAGTGCGGATTGCATGGCTTAGGCATCATCGCACAGTAAGACAATATCATCCACATACTCAAGGTCGAGAAGTCTTTCTCCAGGCAACAGATCCACACCGCCATTAGTTACATCTATCAGAGCTGTTTCTAGAATGTCGTCGATGGCAAAGTTGAAGAGGAATGGTGAGATTGGGCAACCCTGTCTAACCCCACTGCCTGAATGGAACAATGGAGAAAGGTGGTTGTATAGCTTCACTCTACCTGAGGTGTTTGTTTATAGGGCTTTTAGGATGCTAATAAACCTCAGGCACACTCTTCTTCAATGGACAATCCCAGAGAACAGTCCTGTCCAACGAATCGAAGGCAGCCCTGATGTCAAGAAATACTGCGATTGTTGGCCTTTGATAAGTATGGCGGTGTTCTAACATTTGGCGGAGGGTGAAGATATGATCAATACATCCTCGACCAGAACGAAACAGCCTGCTCCTCGCGAGTAAATCTTTCTCGGGTTTTGAACAACCTACGAAGTATGACGGAAGCCAATAGCTTGGACGCAATCGGAAGTAGACTTATCACCCGATAGTTGTTACAGGAACGACGTGAACTCTTTTTGAAGATAGGGACAACTATCGACTCATTCCATGACGTTGGAACATTCTCTAGTTCCCAGACCTTTGTAAACAACGTCGTCAGTCCCTTAGTCAGAAAGTCACCACGATCTTTAAAAAGGGCCGGAGGTAAGTCATCTGGGCCAGGTGATTTGTAGCGTTTCAAGAGTTGGAGTTCCTTGCGGACTTCCGCCCCATTTGGTGGATCATTCGTCACAGGCCATGGAGGGCAGGACAATCTGATCGGTATTGCCGAAGCAGCAAGCTGCCATTCGAAGAACTCTTCCCATCGTACAAGACGCCGATGGATGTTAGTGACTAACATCTCGTCATCCTCACAGATTGTTTTGCTCACACAAGACTTCTTGCTGCCAGTGACTCGGATGAGTTGGAAGAGCTTCCGGTAATTACCAGATGCAGCTGCTGCTTCCAGCTTATTAGCACGCTCCGACCACCAGGCTTCTCGGTCCTTACGCAAGCTTTACCCGATTTCATTACGTAACATCCTTCGTTTGTGGTCAAACTCACGGTCACTCGGAGTAGACCGATGGGTCTCGATGAGTTGTAAGGAGCCTGAGGGAACCCAGTGCTTATAAGCGGGACGTTTCGCGAAGCCGCCAACGGCTATACTCGTCATTTCCATGGCGTCATGCAGCTGCCACCAATACTCATCTATACTTTTCGGTGGGATGGTAACTAACCTAGAACCTAGCTCGATTTGATACCTAGTTGCAACAGAAGCTGCAATCAATTTACTGACATCCATCTTTTGGTGACGGTCACTTCGTTGGCCACTGAAAAGTAAGATTGGCACATACCAGGGCCTGATCAGAGTCCAGATAGGTACTCTGAAAAGTGACAGTTTTGTACACAACCACGACAGCAGT